GGTTCTCAGGGGGGCCAGGGGTAATGAGGAAGGCCGATAATATGGCAGCCGCAGGGCAGAGAGGATGGTTTGGGACCATTGGTAGTGGAACTAACAACAGGCGCTCCTTAGTTTGAATGGTTTTTGACCATCGTACTGTCAGAGCAAGGCCCCATGAGAACACACGAAAGTCTTTCCGCATAATGTGTCGAGAGGGGTCAAAATCTTTGCAGGATTTTGGCAAAACATTAGATTTGCGCAACAAACCAAAGAAAAGCAACAGGCAAATCGCCCAGAAAACTGTGTCCTCCAAACTTGAAAACACAAGCTGTGCACGAATCCCTAACAAGAGTGACGGAGTAATGGGCAGCTTACGATGCACAGCAGTGCCTTTACATCTGGCAATGCCCTTCAAAATAGACGACAGACGCCAGTTCCCTGTCAGTGGATTGGGAAACCCACACTCAATGTGCAGAATGCGAATAATGTTAAGATATTGTTTTATGGAATTGACAGCCAGACGTCTGGCCAGGTAAGCTGCGTATCTGCACAAGACAAGCTCATTTACTGGGACTGGAGCGTATCCAAATTGAATGCAGAAGGCAAGGTAGGCACGACGGTGGGTGGAGTATGTGGATTTAGTTGAGGCTGCAAAGGTGTTTCCTCTATGCAACTTGCTGTGTGTAGGCTGTGAAAAAAAATATAATTAATTGTCAATTTAGCCTTTTTAACATGATTGCGAAAACTAGCATGACTGCGAAAGAAATCCTGACTGGACGCATTTGCAGACGACCCCCTGCGCTGGAGTGAAACCGCAGTGGAATCACTCCGGTGATTATGCTAATTGATAACATTCATGCTGCAATACTGAAGTATTTCATATATCTTTGAGTAGTAGCTTTCGAAACAACAAAAATGTGAACACATTTTAACATCACAGTAATTCACTTCCACATTGCGTTTAATTCTGCATCGGTATGAAACAGCATTTTAATTGGTTAATGAAAGATGTGACCTGTTCGGTCAACATCATGGCGGGAACGGCTTTGTGCCAAGAGTTTGCATACGATCGAAAACATCCCACAACATAATGATAAAGATCTTGTCTTCGACTATTCCCCCACACACCCTACCCATTATTACATCGTAAATTCAGACGGTATGTAAATCGTATTGTGATAAAATTTGTTAAAATTTATGAACATGTTTGTTTCTTCATTGTAAAAGTATTGTGGAAATCAGTGATGACTCATTCCACTTTTTTTAGCTCCGCTGTCGACTTTGTTGAGTGGAGCTTATCATATGAGTGATTGTCATTTTTGGCCAAAAGTGATATTTTCAACTTCTTGTTAAAAAACGAAAGTCTGATTGCTTTGATATTACATATATAGGTACTACATGTGGACCTCAACTCAGATTTGTTCATTTCGTGATGATATCTTAAATTTTCTAATTTTGGTGAATATTTTTGGTGAAAAGTGATATTTTTGACTTCTAGTTAAAAAACGCAAGTCTGATTGCTTTGATATTACAAATATAGGTATTACATGTAGACCTCTCTCAGATTTGTTCATTTCATGATGATATATTTAATTATTTGATTTTGATGAATATTATTTATTTTTGATGAGCTATCTCAGCCGACAGGCTGCTTGTCATCAAAAAGACGTAATATTCCCAATCCCTGACATGGTGAACAAAAAATATAATTTGGACAATTTTTTTTGGGTGGTAAAATGGTTACAATGTTAAACGCCCCCAAAAAAATCATCTTTTCTGAGGTGGCTCTCGAGTATAAGCCCACCCCTTACTTTTCCCAATTTTACATGTTCAGGCCCTGGGCTTATGATAGGGGAAGTACAGTGGTATTATACATGTACTTTATTGTACTTTGTTACTAACATTTTATTGCTGTCAACCAATGGATGCAATAAAATCATTATTATTATTATGACTTGTTTTTCATGTATATTTATTTTTTTATTTTTCAGAGTTATGAATCCTACACCAATTGTTGATCGTGAAAGGAACACGATTGTGATGGTGTTTATTTCTTTGGATCCACTGCTTTGGGAAAAAGACATACACGAGAATGGAGTATACAATCAAACTGTACAAATGACATTGGTAGGTCTTATATTTATTGTTAGAGTGCCATTAACAGTTACGCTGAAAGTCTTTATAATAAAAATCATGCTTTTTTTATCACAGAGCACAGATCTTGGCAAAACTTGGGCTGAACCAATGGATATAACATCAAGTACCTTAGGATCCATCAAACCAACAGCAGCCATGTTTGCACCAGGTACAAAATAAAACATAAAATGTACACACAGAATCACATTATAATGTTTGCAAGCATAACAAACTGTTTGGACTGGAGTATATATGATTTGTTCTGTTGATAATAAAGGCATTTCTGTTTTTAGTTTTAAAGCGTAGGTGGAAACAACATTCAAGAGTGTTGTTAAGGTAGCGAGAAGGGTTTTGTGACGTTTTTAAATAAAACATTCTTTGTCTGTGGTCTCGTTCAGAACAGTAATTTAGGTTATATATATCAAAAGACTAAGTATAGAGGTGCAAGTTCGCACAAACT